ATAATGGAGAAGAAATTACTGCAATCATAGATAGGGTTCTAGTTCATGTTTATGAAACAGTCTGTGCTAAGAGGAATCTATTATAAAACCTGATGTGCAGTAATTGTTTGGCTTTGGAACCAGAGTAATCCACCGCTAGAACATGGGAAAGTACTGTTAACTTAAGACTGATAATGTGGAAGAAAGGACATTACAGTTCTAATTGTAGGAGATTAAACGCAACCATGCGACTTATTAGTTGGTCGAACATAGATTGATTTACTACATATTGCTCGCCAAGCTAGGTAATACCTTGCACATTGCTATGCTAATGATTGCCCATTTCACAGTTGCAAATAATAGCAACACTCGCGAATTAAACTGCAGGCTTCCCAAGAACTCAATCGAAGTAATATGGTTAATTTCGGGAAAGTAAAACTGATGAAAAAATAACGGTTATGTTTTAATAAGTGGATCGGAAGATGAGTTGGGCTCATTATTGGAAGTAATACGGGGAGAAACAGTGATACCAGCCACTAACAACAGTGATCAGAAATTAATTTTGAAAGATAATCAATGTATCGGTAGAGCGGAAATAGCAAAATTAGTTGAACCAAGTTCAGATCAGAAAACTGAAAAGTTTCAAGTCAAAAGGAAATACTGATAATAAATGAAATTATGAAGTTTAAGAGACCGATTACTTTAGAAGAAATTAAAGTTAATAACAATAATATGCAAGAGAGAAAATATGAAGTTTTACATTTGATAAATGAGTATCGAGATTGTTTTGCATTAAATATGGAGGAATTAGGGTGTACAAACTTAACAAAAATGGATATTAAAGAAATTGAAGGGAGTAAGCCTATTTGCATGAAGTCGTATAAAACCAATGCCGAAGAGCGTGCTTCTATAATGAAGATAATAAATGAATGGAAGCAATATGGAATTGTTACTGAAACAAGATCTCCGTATGCTAGTCCAATTTTACTCGTAAGGGAAAAAAAAGGTGAATTACGATTAGTGATAGATTATAGAAAGTTGAATTTGCAAACTGTTAAAGATAAATTTCCACTCCCTAGGATAGATGATCTTCTTGAATGTCTTAGTGAGTGTAAAGTTTTCACTACATTGGACTTAGCTCATGGATATTTGCAGATTCCTTTAACTGAAGAAGCGAAACTGAAAACAGCTTTCATCACTCCAGATGATACTGGTCAATTTGAACATTTGATCTTTGGGTTAACTAATGCTCCTGCAGAATTTCAGAGACTTATGAGTCAAGTTTTAGGTCCACTGCTTAATAAAGTATTGTGCTATTTGAACGACATATTAATTCCGGCTAAATCTTGGGAAGAAATGATGGAAAAACTTAGGAAAGTGTTTGATAGATTGAGAGAAGCAATGCTGACATTGAAACTGACAAAATGCGAATTTGGAAAAGATTAAGTTGAGTATTTGGGATTTCTAATAAAATCAAATGGTATGCAACCTGGACCAAGAAAAAGTACGAGCCATATTAAACATTCCTAAACCAACCGATGAACATGAAGTTAAACAATTTTTAGGTCTTACAAGTTTCTTTAGAAGGTTTGTACCGAAATATTCAGAGAAAGCTGAGCCGCTAACGAGACTGACGAGGAAGGATGAAACATTTCGTTGGAACGAAGATCAGCAAGAAGCATTCAATACTTTTAAGGATCATTTAACTAATGAACCAATACTAGTGTTATATAATCAGGAAGCAGAGACTGAAGTGCACACAGACGCGCGCAACAAATGGCTGGCAGGAATGCTGTTGCAAAAAGGTGAAGATAAAAAATGGCATTTAGTTTATTGTGTAAGTAAAGGAACAACAGAAACAGAAAAGAATTATCATTCAAGCAAATTAGAATTAATGGCTAGAGTTTGGACTTTGACACGACTTCGACAATTTTTAATTGGAATCCGATTTATGGTAATTACAGACTGCCAAGCTTTAGTTTATTTAAACACGAAGAAAACTTTAAATCCTCAGATAGCAAGTGTGCCTGTTGGTCTGGCATTGAAGACTTCTCAGAATGGCCAAGATGCTGGCACTGGAAGCAATGTTTAGGGTTCAGAATATAAAATCTTATATGACAATTAAGGTATACAACTTAAACATTCTTTGACAGACCACATATAAATTATCAGGGGCATTTTGACATTAAAATTAAGAAAATAATTTTTTCTTGTAGTAGTTTTGGGAATTTTTTTGCTTTCTAAGTGAAAACCTGAGCGAGTCAGAGGGTTAACAGTAGATTTATCAGGAGTTGCAGTGCTTGGATTGCTTTCATTAGAATCAGATTTTTGATAAAATGTTACATTTGAAGAGGCTATGTTTGAAAGAAATGATTCAGGTCTAACCGCCTCAACCACCATGGACTTAATAAAAAACACAGAATCTTGTCTTATGGCTAGCCAAACCTATATGCAAACTGAAGCCCCATAGTCAGCTTTCCTGAAAGCAAGTACTCCCGAAAGCTTATCCCCAAGCTGCCGAAGACAGACCAACCAAATGATACACATTAGGACAACAAAGTGCCTTCCGTTTAGCTGAAGCAGAGGCCAAAGCAGCATGTTGGGGATAGTACTTTGCCCCTTAACACCAAGAACCTCCTTTCCAATGACATGTGTTTTCATGCACAGCAAATATATGGGCAGTTTACTTAGTACTTGAAGTTAGAGACAAGAGCTGTAATAAAATCTTATAAGCCCCTATCTCAAATGAGGAAAAACCACAAGAGGGGAAAATAATAGCCAAGAGGAAGGCGAAAAGAAAAAAGGCTAGATGACTGGGACTCCAGGATCATGGCACCCATCTCACCAAGAATAATAATAATCCCCTGAATGACTAGACTACTTAAAAATTGTCATACCCATACTCAGAATAAGTCAGCCACTGAGGGAAACACCAACTTAAAAATTTTTTTCACAAGCAACAAGAGATTTCATTATAGAATACTGTACCAATGAACACTGACATAAAATCAGTTTACAATAAGTCAATTTTGATAATGTGTTAGTACACAGCAAAATCCTTTAATGCCATAAAGTTATAAACTTTTATTTTAATTTGGCTGTTTTCCCTTTCTGTCCTAAAAATAGTAACTGTTTAAAATAAACCTATCTAAACTGCACCATTTCAAAATTAATTATGGTCATACAATTTTTGTACACTGTTAATGAAGCAGTTATATAACACTCCAGCCAAAAATAATTTTAGAACATTATTAATTAGTCAATCAAAATAAGGCTAAAGCAAAAATAAATCACTCTGAACACAGATTCATCTTAGACACATTGCATTCTCTGTCTTGTTTCACTGCTGCCAACTTGCTAATAAGCGGCCGAGCGGTAAAGTCGCTGAACACTGGTAATTCGTTCCGAAGTTCGAGTCCCGTGAACGGGCAGGCTGCATGGGTGTTTTCATGGTTTTCCACATGTGTAACGTGTATACGAGCCAGTTTCCCTTTGAAAGTCCTCCACGAAGGCATCCCTCCCCTTAGGCAGATAGCTCTCGATGCTTTGCCGTAATTAAATAACCTAACCTAACCAACTTGCTAATATATGTTACTTCAAATGTACTTTCAAAATTCTATAGTGTACCAAAGCAATCATTCGAGAACAGCCATCTACTGTGCCACTTTGGCAGAAAACTTGTTTCTCAATGAGAATACAGAAATATTAAAATTGACAATGATTGCAATTACTTTTTCATGTCATTTCTTTAGTATTCAAATTATTTCATATACAGGTTATCTGCTTTAAGAACTTTCACAAGTACAAAGAAAACTATTCTCAAAGACAGAAATTTGTTCAGAATCAAAAAATATGCCAAATGTCAAAAAGCAAAAAGTGTACAATGCCACACAGTGCTTTCATTTTATTTATGCAAAAGAAAAAAAAAAAGCAGTTCAGACAAGTTTAGACACTTATTTTCTTAAGAAAGTCACTTCAGTAATCAGTATTGGTGGCTCATTTCACATAGTAACTCTTTAAATCACTCATACAGCTTCCTTCCCAGAAATGACTTCTTTACCTGTCGATGACTCTTCAGAGGGCAAGTCAGACACTGACTCACCCCACCTATGTAAAGATTTACTAGCCTTAGCTTCACATCATCCACACATGCTTCAAAGATGACTATCCAAAGTAGGTACTGAATAGAAAAATAGTGATTTATTTTTTATAATGTACTGTATATAAAATTTAAAAACATACTACTTACTTGTCTTAGTATTTAAATTTTTCATTTGGTACTATTTTTAGCTCTTATCTCTCGAGCATGGCTAACAGATATGCCTAACAAACCTAATACCATTTCACAAACAAATTTGTGGCTTGAAAGGTCATTCTGAATGTAACTCATTTATAAGGTCAGGAAGCATCTGTGTATGCATGGTATATATTCTAACCAGAGCCTATATAAAATATATATATTCTAGCCAAAGTTGGAGTGAGTATGAGTTAAATCTAATAAAATTGAAATTGGGGCCTTGATTTTTGGGAGATTTCCATAATCTGATAGATTATATTCAAACTTACAAAAATACTCCATGTGCCTATCTGATTATACATTTGCTTTATGGGTTGATTTGTTCACGTTACAGTCAGTCTTTCAGCTCATGGATTAGTTGTGGTCCCAGTTCAGTTCGAAACTAACATATTATGCAGCTATAAACACTCTGTTATGTTTAAAAAAGAAACATATCCCCCCTTTTTTTACAAGACACAAAACTTGGAGATCAATAAGTTACACAAAATTATTGTTTAATGAAATCATTTAAAATATACATGTTTTTAAAGCTGTTATTACACACACATTTTTTCAAAATTAAGTAAAATTTATTACTTTTGTATTTATTATTAGAAAAAGAATAATTGGATAATCTGTAAAAAATTTTGTTCAAGTCACAGCTACATCATTATTGTCACATTTTTTGTATAATAAATATTACAGCATGCATTATTGCTTAGCTTTAATAAATAAACTATATCACCTTCAGAATAATTTTCTGCCAGCTTCTTATGAAACTCCTGAACCTAAAATATCAAAAAAGCTTTTTAATGTGTTCTTAAATATCAGAAACTTTACATAAAATGCAAAAAAAAATTTATGGTAGGTAATGTATTTCTTGATAACCTCAGCTGCGCAGGCCGATGTACAGTAGCATATCTTTCAACTTTAAAATCAAGGATACTGCAAGAAATTACATTGAAACTTTTGTTTGCTATGCACATAACGAAAAATACAGACAAACGTTTTTATAGATAACAGTATAGCACTAATTAAACAAATAATATGTTTACTAATCATGAACATTTTCAACACTATTGTAAAAAACGTATTTTAGGTGAAACTTCACCCATGATAGTCCTTAAAAATCAACATTAGATATGATTGAAAGTATTTTTTTACATATGTAAAATAATTCCTGTATGAAAACACAGTATAACTTAAAAAACAAGAAATATCTTCCAATTTCATAATGCATTACAGAAATCAAAACTAATATTGGACATAAGGGCTTTTCCAGTTGGCATATATGAGTACCATGGCTACTTGTAAATAGCCATGTTGAATCTTATTTGAGATTTTCATACAGGAAAAGTGGCATATGATGTATAAATTAAGCCAGAAATTTCTATAAAACACAATGATGCAGTTTTCTTAAATTTTATTTCTTAAGGAGATAATGGTCTATGAAGCTACTGCTAATAGCCTCTAGGATTACACCAACAAACTAAGAATTAATTGAGATAATTTTTGTGAATGGGAGAAGAAGCTCCATACCATGATTTTAATATAGTGAACTATGAATCTGTATTTAGGACTGATTCTGAGGGACTCAAATCTACCTGTTTCTAAGTTGGTCGAGCAGATTTTCAAACATCTGAATATATTACAGATGACTCATTTGAATAATTAATTTGAAAAAGAAAGCGCTTATTAGTCTCTGGCAAGCTATAATAAATATTCAATGCTTCAAAAGAACACTTATTGCTTAGCTTTTCATAAAATAAGCTTTTATTCAATCTGATTATTAAATTTGTGGTAATCATGTAGTACATGATCTACTGCTTTTAGTTAGCTAGTTATTGCTTAGATGGTGCCATTAAAATGCTGTTTTAAAATTCAAATAAGTAAGAAAATGGCAGTAAAAAGAAATGATTAAAACAACAACCAAATTTAGTGCTGCATTTCAAAGATAACTAACAAAAAAAAAAAAAAAAAGCAGTACGTTGCATAATACATGATTACGAAATTATTTGGGCTCGCTTCCTTAAATCCATCTAACATTTGCAGCACAGATTTTAGATTCATATGTATAAAAATTCCAGTTAACTAACGTATAATTTGTCATTTCAGACTGCTTTCCATAATGTTTTAACAGGATTATTAAGATGGTGATTTTTGATCTTACTAATATTGGGAGATAAGTATGCGTAAATAAATCAATCACTTGATGGCTAACAGATTAATACCATAACATCAGCAGTAAAAAAAATAAGAAAAAGGAAAACGTGATTTGTAAAATTATATTGCACTCGTGAATTTTACACTTCTGTTGAAGGCTATGTTATGTTTTCAACTACATTTTAATTTAAAGATTACTCTCATTATACTCTTTTATTTTAGTAAAATTAAGGAACCCTTTTTATGCATATATACGAAGGTCACTCTGAAATTTTTTACATACACACAGACTATAAGTGGCAGGGTAAGATTTGAAAATATGAATTATTTTAGCTTAGCAGACAATTTTTTATTGGTCAGTTGCAAATTGTTTAGCACTTAATAAATTTTAGGTAGAAAGAAAAATGGAGTTGATGAGAGAATATTTTCTATGATTTTAAAGTGGGATTAAATTAAGAAGAATGCATTCAATGTCTATAATTAGCATCTGAAAATGAAGGTCCATCTTATGCACATGTATTCAGATGGTTTAAAGAACTTCAACAGAGGTCGCAACTCTTTTCGGGAAGAAGAACACACAGAAAGGCCATTGTCAGCAGGTAATCCCAGATGATGTGTCTGCCACATGGAAAATGTTAATCGATGATAATCTCTGCACTTACCAAGTGATAAAGAAGGAACTTAACATTGGATCTGCAGCCATACATAAAATTATTCATGAAGAACTGCATATAAAACAACTAGTTTGGGTTCCCCAAAATTTAAGTGAGCATTCAAAAGAGGAAAGCAACAGAATCAGAAAAGAAACTCTTAAATTATTTAAAGATGGCAATCATCACATTATTTCTAAAATCGTAACAGATGCTGAAATGTACTTTTTGACATTCCAACACATCAAGAAAGTAAAGTATGGGTCTTTGAAAATAATCCCATGTCCACAATGGTGAAAAGTCAATGTCCCATGAAAAAAGCAATGTGTTCCATTTTCTTCAGAAGTGGAGGACTGATCAAAGCCATGAAGCTAGAAGGACAGAAAACAGCCACAACTAACTGGTACACCACTAAGTGTCGTCCAAAAATTCTTCAAGTCGATATTAGATGATTCATGCTCTACTGTGACAATGCATCTTATCATTCAGCAAGACTGACAGTTGAGTTTCTAGAACAAAAACAACATCCATCTTATTTACCTGATCTAGCTATGTGTGGTTTGGCTATTTTTTAATCTAAAAAAGAACTTACACGAACATTATTTTCTTTCCGAAGATGAGAATGACGAGGCTATATGCTACGTCTTTAGTGGGTATTACAGTCAAAAGTCGTTAATCCGGACTCATCGGGGACTTCGGCGATTCCGGATTATCGATTTTTCCGGATTATAGATCATCAGTTTAAATCTGGTAAGATGGCATGCAGAAATTATAAAATTAAAAATATGAAACCGTAATTTATGAAATAAAGAACAATTATAATCTAAACGGTATCAAAATTTACAAAAAAAAAGCTTAATATTTATTTGTTTACTTTATTAAACATTTCTTTCAATGTAAGTTGTTTAAGTTGCTTCATTTTATGTGATAATACTTTCTCTTTAATTCTATAAACAGAAATAATTTCTATAATTGCTGTGTCGAGAATACCGACTAATTTGTCAATCGAAATTTTTTCGTTTTCAATAACCTCTGTGTCACTTTCTTCACTATCGGAAGTGAATTATAATGACGAGGAATTTGATTTAAATCATATCAAAGACAGAGTACATCAAGATGAAATACTACATTTAGTAAGGAATTATAAGCCAAATAAAATACAAACATCTGCCCTGAAAATAAGGATAGTGCTGACAGGTTAACTTCCAATTCATTGCGTGCCGTGGCGCCCCCCCCCCCGCCACCACAGAGCAGCGTGAGATTGATAAACAGATTTCGGAATGGTTAGAAAAACAAAGGATATGCCTTTATCCATTTTTTGCAGCTATTCCACTTTTTGTTTAATGGACTTCGAAACGTACTTTCGCTTTGTAGATCCTTTACATATTAGTAAATATATATCGGAAATTCTATTTGACATAATCGAAAGTTCAAGCTTACTTTTATAAAAATTGCTCTAACAGTCTAAAAAAAATAATAAGCCGGATCCAATTCGAAGATTAAGGAACAATGCAATCTGCAACATTAACTGAATTAGATAATTTTAGCTTAGCTTATACCGTCCGTTATACATTAAATGCGCATTCGTAAACGTATTATGCGCATGCGCACATGCATATTCACAAGCGCGAAGGTCTTACGCGCATGTGTAAACGCCTATGCGACGCATGCGCAGAAGTTTGTAGCTTTGAGGTCCGGATTATGGATGTCCGAATTAACGAATTTTGACTGTATAGCACAAGACATTGTATTTATCCACAGATATTTTATTATATACAAAACACACCACACTGTACATAAAACCTTACAAATACACACATACAAGTCCAACGACCAGCATTACAGTCTGTCTACATCCACAATCACTTAGCACACTGCTCAATGCTTGGCACACGTCAGTTCTAATTTTGATTACAATTAAGTTCTTGATATACCACAATACTCCCCTCTTATCACAAGTGCAATCTATCTGTGGGACATCAAATTCTACTGGACCGAAGCAAAGGTTGTGGCTCCAGTGGATGGAACTTCTGGTAAAATTTTTTGCTCAGAAGACGACACAGTCTCATCTATCTTTGGATGGTTCTGGAACTTCACTCTAATCAGGCTCCTTGAAAATCATGAGAGCTTGGAGGTAGACGTGTGCAACCCTTATCAATTATTTTTCCTCCATCACACATCTGGTCTACATGCTGCTGCCGTAGCTGACCATCTACATTTATAGTGTAATGAAGCTTGGATTGGATGGTTCCAAATCTCTATCGTCTGTCACCTTCGCAAATGCTGACACTAAATCCTTGATCTGCAACCTTGTGGGTTCCTTTTCGAACTCTGTCTTTCATCTTTCTTTTGAGATCTGGTCTCAATAAATCTATTCTTGTTTGAATTTCTCTCTTCAGCATTAGGAATGCAGGACTCTGTAAAGTAGTTAAATTTGAAGCTTTTCTATATTGCATTAAAAATGTACTGAGTTTTTTCTCTCTTTCTGGATAATTTTGCATGGTCCTTAAAGATTGTTTTACTGTAAACACATACCATTCAAGCCAGCCCATTACTAGATGGCTTAAATAGTGTTGTGGTTCTGTGCTTGATTCTGTTACTCTGTAGAAATATCTTAAACTCGTGTGAAGTGAACTGTGGTTCATTATCACTCGTTAACAATATTGGTAATCTGAACTCTCCAAAAACGTCCTACAGGACTATTGTTTAGAAAGTCAAGCTTCATTTCATTGGGTAGTAGCAGTTAATCTTTGAAAAATTCGCCTACAGAAGTTCACTGATCCTGGAAGAGACTCTTTGAACACTCCTAAAATTTCGCAAGCATAACTTTAAAAATCTATGTGTACCTAAAAAATTTCAGAGTAACCTTCGTATGTGTGTGGTAAACTCAGGAATACTTATCTCAAAGTTTTCTGTGAAAAAACTCCATTGAAATCTCCTACTTATTTTTTAACTGTTTCAAGATGGTGTACCTTTGTTTCAGAAGTCCCTAGGAACAGATCGGAATCAAAAGGAATGTTCCGTGGGACAGGGCTTGTGTCCCTAAGCCTAACTTTAGGAAAAAATCTTATGTGTACACTACATGACTTTCTTGCACAGAATATTAAATTATATGCATTTTTTGCTGCATTTAATTTAAACTTATTTCGTCCAATTTCATTACAGATACAGTTCTCCATCAATTAACTCAGTTCTCACTTCACAACAAGACAAATATACATAAAACCTCAAAATATTTTTATCAAAAATTGAAAAATATAGAAAAATATAAAACACAAAATACATTTAAAACAATTTAAAATATTTTTACAATTAAAATTAAATTTTTTAAGTAAAAACAAGCAATTCAGACAGCAAACAAGAAAGCAGATTTTTCAGTGCGCAAAACTGAAAGTTTACTTTTGGTCTTACTCAGTAAAAAGGATACTGAAGGTGTAGAAGCTGACTTAACTCACTATTTTAATAAGTTTCAAATATAAACAAATATGGCAGCTGTGATAAAAAAATTAGGCTTAGCCGCACTTGAACAACTTTTAAATTTTTGATAATTCTACAACTATTGCATGCAAATTAACTAAAGGCATAAAAATGTTAACCGAAAGATAAGAACAACATAATTCAATCATTTTTAAAGCAAAAAATGCACAATTTACCAACACATAAGAATAAAAATAAAGAGCTCATGGTGCTGAGTATATATATATATATATATATATACTTTTGGTGTGACCAATTGCAACCAAAAGAAAAAGTGCACGTTATAGCAGTCCTATATACAAAATTTCAACATTCTGAGACTACACGTTTTTGAGTTATGCAAGGTGCATATGTACAGACATTACAATATCTCTTCTGAATTCATTTTAAATACTTTTTGCACCCTGTTTTGGAAAAGAGTCCTTTATTCTCTTCTTACATACAAATGTCACGTAAAAACATTGTTAAATTGTATTCGATAGCAGTCAAAATGGATATTTTATTTGAAACGAGATACCCAAAAATTTTCGTGATTACAATACTTCCTTTACTAAATATAAGGAAGTAAAAAATCACAACAAAAAGTATGTCCTAAAGTCATAATTTTTGGTAGAATTTTAGATTATTACTTATGCTATCATGTATGTTAAAATTAACATTTAATAATCTTTTTCCTTTACTGAAAATATATTTAAAAAAATTCTGCTTACTTAATAAGAAATAATTTTCGGAAACGTTATTCAAACCATTTCAAAGGTTTAATTGACAAAATATACTAAAAAACATTAATTTTTAAAAATACAAGAAAGGCTATTTACAAAAAGAAGTAACAAAATGTTTCATGCGAAGTGGAAGGCAGGCACTCGAGCTCAATCTCTGATAAAATGTCTGCATCAGAATCACTAGAAATATTGCTCCCTAACTCTTTAGAAAATGAATCATCACTCTCATCCATGTCAACTAATTGGATCATTTACCACTATACCTATCCAGTCATGGTTGATTTGAGAGATTTAAACAAAGATATGCTTTATATAATCTAAGATTGAAAGGAGAAAGTGCATCTACTAATTCGGATGCAGCACAACAATATCCAGAAAAATTTGCTGAAATCATTGCCGCCAACTCCTACACTTCTGATCAGATCTTCAATGCTGACGAGTCTAGGTAATTCTGGAAAAACATGCCTGAAAGAACATATTCAGCTAAAGCTTGCAAATCAGCTAGTGGTCATAAGGAAGCGAAAAGTCTTATAACAATTCATTCCGTTACAACGCTTCAGGCAATTATATAATAAAACCGTTGGTTATTAACAAATCAGAAACACCATGCTCATTTAAAGGAATAAACATAAATAGCCATCCAGTTCATTGGATGGCTAATAAGAAAGCGTGGGTCACGGCCATAGCTTTCAATGAATGGCTTTATAACATGGATGTCAAACATTATTTAAGTACAAAGGGATTGCCTTTTAAGGCTCTTCTATTAAATGATAATGGACCTGTCATCCTCAAGATTTACAACACAAAAATATAGAAGTTGTCTTTTTACCAAAGAATACAACTTCCTTATTACAACCATTAGATCAAGTAAGGCACCGTATACCAAACAAACCTTCAGGTATATTTTAGAACAAATGGAGAATGATGAATCTCTTATGGATACTTGGAAGAACTTTAGAATCTTAAATTGTGTTAATCATGTCGGACTATCAATTACTCAGATTAAACAATCAATGCTTAATGCATGCTGAAAAGCAAAATGGCCAGATGCTGCTAAAGATGAGAATGATAGATTACAGCATGAATATTCTCAGATCACAAAATTGGCCCAAACTATAGGACAAGAAGGTTTTGAGGATTTAGCTTAGGCAGATATTGAAGAAATAATGGTTGATGAAGAACGAAATGAAAATGAGTTAGTTAACATGATTCATGAAACATATAAACATGATGAAGACAATGATTCTGATAAAGAGCAATCTAAACCAGTTGCGCTCACAGCAAGAGTCATCAGCTTAGGACATAAATTGGGAAGAAAAATTAGGTAATCATTTTTTGCAATACTACACAAATGTTGAATGAGCTTTCCAATTCCAACGGGAGCTTAGTAAAAGCTTAAATCAATATGAGGAGATTTACAAATATTTAGGAAAAAAGCATAGGCAATTGTTAATTATGGAGTGTTGTTAACTACAGAGTTTTGTTGATTTGAGATCTTCCCTAATTCATCAACCATTGAAGCAGAATTTTATTAAGAACACTCAAATGATGAAAGTGACATCACACCTATCAAGAAGAAAAGACTAATAATTCAAAAAAGTGATGACAGTGATTAAAGTGATAGTAATTTTTTTATTGATCTTATATTTTCCTAATGTAAAATAAATTAAATATGCACTTCTATTATAACATATTTCTCCCGCTTTCTTGGCATGCCTTCGGGGTGTGGTAGTCTACAAGCTGGGTGCATATTCCAGAGGCCCGCGGTTCAATTCCCGGCGAAGGCGGTTGCTCATTTGTCATCTCTCTTAAAAAAACCCCTAATATCTCTAATAGCGGCACCCGAACTAAAAGGGTTGTGGATGATGATTCTCCTCACCCGGGATTTGGCGATTGGGTCCCCCCCTCAAACCCCAGTCGCACTTTAAAAGGGGGAGTATATAAGGTATTTCTAACGCCTTTTTGGTGTGATGGTCTGCACATTGGGCGCATTTTCCAGAAGTCCGGGTTTCGATTCCTGGTGAAGGTGGTTGCTCATTTTTCATCTCTCTTTCTTAAAAAAAAAATTCTTATGTATCTACACTATTACCTATACATATTTGTTATTCTATGAAGGAAGGATAACTTTTAAGATGTCTTACTTTTGTTTCATGTAAATAAATAACTAAATTATGCACATTTAGTATGTTTTTTGTTTTACATACAAAAATCCAAGATTTCGATTTACACAGTTTTGTGCGGAACCTATCTTTCATGTAAATCGAGGGATAGGTGTATATCTTTCTTCTGATAAACAACATTTGCTTGCCATAATAAACTGAAGTCAAGGCTTTCAGAAATAAAAAGGAAAGTATGTGAAATATAAGCAATAAAAGCAATGCAAAGCATAACAGAACCCCCACAAAATGACCATACTTAGTAGCAAAATAAATAAATAAAAGAATTAAAAAAAAAAGGATTCAAAGGGATATCGGAACCTAAATGTTTATAGCATGAATGAAGTTAAAAAGTCAAGTTCTGTTTGTTCTTTTGCGTTACACTTTCCCTCCTCCTGTGCAACAGCTGACACGTTAACAAATCTGTAAAGTTAAGTAGAATCTGATCAAACTGAAGGTCAGGATCCTAAGACTATACACATACACATTCCCATCCAGGTCATTTTCCAGCGATGCAGGGGGGAACGGCCGGCTGTGAGAGACATTCATAGACATGTGTGCATTTGTAGGGAATGTATATATGGAATGCCCATTTAGAAAGGGTTAAGGACTTAATTGGAAATACTAAAGCTAAAACAATATATGCATACTCTTAAATCATACATATTTCTTCACGAGTTTGGCGAAATCCAGTTGAAGATACTTTCACTAACTAAATTTCAGAGGCATATTTCTAAAATCTACTTATCTAACCAACATTTATGCACTTTTCAGCATGCATAGAATAACCAAGCACATTCTGAATTTAGACATAACTAATCACAATACATGTTTTCTATTTATAACAATTATGTATAATTATCCACCAAAAATCCATTTGGAGGCATAATTGTAGATAATTTTGAGTAAATCTTACCACAGGAGATAGAGATGATACAAATTGATCTTCTATTTCTGGAATTATATCTTCCACGTCTGAAACATATGAGATCCATACAATTCCGTAACTACAACTATTTTTTATAAATAATTTTCAAAGCTACTTTTATAATCAAAATTTTTAATGACTATTTAGCAAACTAAAATTATTACAATAAAAAAATAAAATAATATAATGAGAATAAAGATTTCAATTAATGAAAAATTTTTGGTACTAAAAGTTTTTTAGAGGGGATGCAATATGAGATTTATTTTTCAATATTTTATAAAAAAATTTTATAATTATATAATTCATGAAATTTTAAACTTTTATAAAAAAAACCGAATTATTTGTGTTTGTTCCGTATTGTTCATTCAACAGTTTTTGAGTTGCATTCTCAAGTCTGTAAAACTGCTGATAGCTTTCTCTGATCCCCACTTTTCAATTCAAGAGTTCTTAAATTTTGCACAGCTTTTCTAGGTTTGACTGAAATTTGTATGTCTTCATTTTCTGCCATATTACTATCACTGCCAGTTTTAGTTTCTAAAGCTCTTTTAAATTTTTCTATAATACTGTAGTTAGTTTTCACATATTGTCTCAATGTTATCTCAGTTGTAATGTATTCTAAAAATGAATCTTCATAAATTCCCTCACTGATGTCTGAAATATTGGCTATAGCTTGCATCTCATCTGAGGCCTTTCTAAATAAAAGCCATATTTTATAAAGCCATATTCTATACATTGGCCATAATATGCATAGATGCTAGCAAAGATAACAATTTAATTATCTTCTTTGAAGTAGTTGCCCTTTAAAAGTAATTTTTTTTTTTAACATCTCCTTTCCTGTACTGACATTTCAAAGCTTTTATTATGCCAAGGTATAAAACCTAAGAGATGAAAATTGTATTTGCAGGAATAGACACAAACTCAATATTTTTTAGTACAAGATCAAAGGGCTGTACGGCACAGTAATCAAACAACTTATTTCTTCGTTTTTCAATTGTTTGTTCTATTCCAAAGAAAAATCTGTAGAAATACTGCTTGTCATCCATAAATTCCTGTTTTCAGAATAACTCAGATTAAGCCCTTTGAAGCTGAGGTTTCAATAAGGCCTCTTGATTGTTCTACTAATATTACAATAACTCACTCCTTCAGTTTCTTAAAGCCAGTTTTTTATTCCATTTTAAACATTAACGTTTATTCTAACAAAGCTTTATAAAATATAAAAGACCTGTACAATAATTTTTGCGCAGCTTTCATTACTTTAGTTGTCCAGCTAAAACATCTTGTACTCGGCTATCAGCCATACAATGATCTGCCCCTTAATTTTTGCAATGCAGTTTTCTAAGAAGAATGCTTTTTTTTTCTCCATCTTGTGAGTCATCAATCACTTCATAGAACATTCTCTTATAGCATTTTAGCAAACTGCACAGCTCCGGGAATAGGAGCATGTTTCAGTCTTATTGCTTGAAACCATCCTATAAAAACAGTTTCTAGATCTGTAAGAGTTCCAGTACTTTTGTGCTTCCTTGACACTTTTGCATTTTTTAATAGCTCTCATCTAATTTAGTTCTTTGTTTAAGTAAATAGCACAGTGCTGTTCGGGTAATTCTCAGTTTAGTTTTCTAAGCTTAGATCTTTTTAGTTAGGCATATTTGGCATATTACAAGGTTCAAACAAAGCAAATCGAAGATTGTTTCTTCCAGTAATCTGATCAAATTCAAACTTCATGCTTTTAACCAGGAAAAAGAATTTCATTTTGTCTATTGAATCAATCTCTCACTTCATGGTTACAGCCATAACCAATGCTTTCTTTACCTCTTATTCTGTTTACAATATCCCTTCCTTTTCTATTTATAGAGTGATAATGTATGATTATGCAAGAAAGCATTGCATGAAACATTTCTGAAAACTTCTTGCAAATCTAATGCGTGTACCTCAATGGGAACACTTTGAACACGATAGAATGCTAAGGTTGCACTTCCACACCATGTTAACTGGTTTTCATAAAGAAAACAAAGCTCACTTAATTAAGAACCACATTTCTTTTAATCCTCAGAGAAACACACTCATTCAAGGTTCAAGATAGAACTTACACCTTGATAAAAGAAGACAGAACTTACACACCTTGATAACATACCTTGATAAAAGAAGTGTTTGTAAGCTGGCTGTTTAAACCTCTTTTATTAAAGCACCAAATAACTGAAGGATCAACAAGTCATGGTTCTCAATAAAGTAAATGGATGAACCACAAAGAACTTTGAACACATATTTGGCCAATCTGACTTATAGAAGTGGCAACTATAATACAGCATAAACAAAAAGCTCATAACCAAATAAAAAACTGATATCATTACTGAAAAGTGTCACTATTCTAGAAAGCATAACTCCACTAAAGAGTAAAAAAGTCATTCTTACAAGTATTGCCTCTTTTTCAACTCTTGTGATGAGAATAATTTCTCATACCTTTGATTTTTAGTTGAATTATTTAATTATTATTGACTAATAATGAATCTCTTTTTAAATAACAGAAGTATTATATATTAATATGATTAAAAATGTCTATCTGATTTCATTAAATAATCTTAAATCCAAAATGCTAATTTTGCATTTGTTTGATCATTTAACTTCTGAACTCTAGGTTTCTGAGTTTTAATTAATGAATATTAAATCATTTATTAATAAATTAAAATCTTTTAAAAAGATGTGTCTTTTTAATTCAAATGTAAGAATAGTCATACAGTAGCAAAAATTATAATATTTTGGATATCATTTCAACATCAATTTGAGAAATTTACAAACACATGAGGAGATAAATAAGAAAATCAGTGCCGTGAATTACTGATCATATTGATTGATAATCAGTGAAAACACTGAAAATCACATATTAAAATATTGACAATTAGTCGATATGTATGTAAAAATTGATACGAAATGACTTCTCTACATTCAATTAAATCAAACCTAGTTGTGTTCTGAAGAATAAATTCATTTGCATGATGCAATTGTTCATGATGGCAATATGAATCCTAATGAACTGGGAAAAATTGTCACACCAGCAGCCGCATTTACAGGAAATCCACAGCACATGCATGAATATGCTCAAGATGTAATGACATATGTTCATAGATACGGCCACCTAGATTTGTTCTACATTTATGTGTGATCTTGTGTGAGATGAAAAAAAAAGAACTTTTATTACCTGGACAATCATCATCAGATCGTCATGATATTTTTGCACATGTGTTCAAACAAAAATTGAAATCTTTAGTGGATTTCATTGTCAAGCATCATGATTTTGGAAAGACATACTTTTGGAAGTATTACACTGAATGGCAAAAAAGAAGACTAGCACACACGTTTTGATTTGCTTGATCAAAAAGCCACACCAGATCAAATCAATCAAATCAGCTCAGCAGAATCCAGGCTCATTTGAAGTTGTCACCAAAAACATGATTCATGGTCTATGTAGCATACTCAACAACAATTCACCATGCATGTCTGATGGTAAATGGAAGGAATGATACCCAAGAGACTTACATGCCAAGACTATCACTTGCAATGATGGATATCCACTCTATCGTCAATGGTCAACTGAAAATGGTGGCAAATCCATTACTTTAAAAGTGTGAAACAATGATGTTAAGTCAATGATAAACAATGATGAAGTCAATAACTGTTGAGTTGTACTGTATTAAACATTATTCCTGAAAACGAACAAAGCATACATCAATATAGAGTATTGCAATTTGGTGAAACTAATCAAGTACATTTGCAAAATATGTCTACAAAGGAAGCGATATGGCAGTTTCAAGAACAGGAAATGCAGTTGAATCTACTAATAAAATTTACCAATATCAACCTTCATTGCTATATTATTAGCAATGAAGGAGTATGGAGCATTTTCTCATTTCCAATATATGAACATCATCTAATGTTCATTCGCCAGTTCACCTTGAAATGTACAGTAGGTGTACTTCACAACAGAAAACGCATGTGCAAGAGCATTGACACCGCTGCCACCAATGTTAACTGTATTTTCCTCACTGTGTACAGATGATATGTTTGCAAAGACGCTACTTTACTTTGAAAAGCCAAAATACTATACATGGAAGGCATCAAGGAAAAAATTTCAGCATTGCAAACAAAGTAAAGCAGTTACAGGACATCCCAATTTATATTCGACCGGTGCATTAGGCCGTCTGTAGACTGTTCACCCAAACAATTCAGAATGCTTTTATTTGTGACTGCCATTAATCAATGTACATGGGACAATATCCTTCCAAAAACTGAGAATAGTAAATGGTCAAATATGTTCCACTTATCAAGAAGTTTGCCAAGAATTAAATCTTCTTGAAAATGATGCATACTAGGACACTTCACTCACTGATGAATCAAATACTGCTCAACCACAGCAAATATGAATGTCATTTGCAATCATATTGACAACATGCTTCCCTTACAATCCAAATGATCTTTGGGAAAGATACAAACCAATGTGTGAACACATCCTACATCATTTGGATAGAATGAATCAAAATCCAGATATTTAATCCACACCAACTGTATTTAATGAGGCATTAGTTTTGACTTAAAACATACGTTTGGGAGTCGCTAACAAAGCACTGATACAATTATGAATGGCTGCACCAAATCGATCTATCTCCAAACGATCTTTGCAATGAGAAACACACTTTGATGTTGATGAATTGGGACATTTGTTCAAATGAATCTCCCCAGATTGGTTTCAGAACAACATATAGTATATGACAGAATTAAGCATGCAATTAGAAGCCAGAGCAGCAGATGGTATTTCCTAAATGCGCCCGGAAGCACAGGCAAAAGTTTTCTTATATCACTTATTTTGGCAACTGTACAGTCACAAAAATATATTGCACTGGCAATCACATCATTCAGAGTTGTGGCAACTCTTTTAGACGGTGGTTGAACAGCACATTCAGTACTGAAATTGTCATTAAATATGCAAATCACTGAAACATCAACATGCAATATCAAATGAAATTCTGGAATGGCTAAAGTACTCCAATCATGTCAACTCATTATATGGGATGAATACACTATGGCACACAAAAAAGCATTGGAAGTGCTTCAACAAACTCTAAATGATTTAACAGGTGATGAACAGCTTTTTGACAGCACACTCATTTTATTGTCTGGCAATTTTCAACCAACTTTCCTAGTTATATTATGTTTGGCACCTGCTGATGAACTTAATGCACATCTCAAATGATCATTCTTATAGAAACATGTACAGAAACTGGCTTTGAAACCAATATGAATTTACAAATACAACATGATGCATCTGCTGAATGCTTCAGAAAACAATTGTTGGACATTGAGAATGAGAAAATGGCAATCGATGAATGCACACAATATATCACACCAACCACAGAAGAATTTATTCACAAAGGTTTCCCAAATATTGAGCAGAATTATAAAAATCATCAGTGGCTCAGTGCATTTGCTATATTAGGAGCCAAAAACAACAACGTTAATGCCATCAGTTTAAGCATTCAAAAGGAAATACAAGGCGAAGTGGCAACATATAAGTCCATCAATGTGGTAATGAATCGAGAAAATTTTGTCAATTATCCAACTGAATTTTTAAATTCAAAAAATTGTCCCTGTGCTTTGTTGAAAGGGACAATCGCTACAAGTTTGTGGACTAAATTCGGAAAATCCATGCTTTTCACACGGGCAGCTGAATGTGGCCTGCTCATGCATCAGAAAATTTTTCGATTTATTCGTGTATGCACCATACAGAAAAACAAAAAATACTGTGTATCCAAAAGCTCTTCAATAAACAGAATTAAAACACAAACTTTTTCTTTACTTTAAGAAACATTGCAATGCATGCTGTATAACAGCAGAAAATAAATAACTAATCACTGACAATAATACATAGCGATCAAGGTGGTGGCAAAGTTCATGCAACTGGTTTGGCTATGCTGAGTGGAAGAAGTTAGGTGTGGAATATTTTTTTTAATTTACGGAAGCATCGAGCAGCAAAATTAGAGGATCTAAAAATTTTTAGAATTTAGAGAGGCACCAGACAGCATAATTTTAGATCACACAGAAATTACACAGGAAGTACTGATGGTGATAGTTATGGCCAACTGCAGACATTTAAGTTATTGACAGAGGCTTGGCCAATCCAAAAGCAAGGCAAAAGTTCATTCAAATTATTTTACAAATTGACATTTTCTTGTTTCTTTATGACTTTTCATTTTTTAATACCATAATGAATTATTTTATAGTTAATGTGCAAGGCAGTTTCATTTTTTAATTATACTTTATAACTGAACTTTCTGAATATTTAAACAATCTAAAAAACGTCTTAATATATACATCTAAATAATGCTTAGCACAGCTATTAGCATTCAGAGGTCATAGGCAGCTCAAACAAATTTTAAAAGAATGTGTCTCTGTGTTCTAAAAAAAGTTTTTTTTTTTTTTTTTTAAACTATTTGAAAAAGGCTAATTTACTGATTTCAAAAGCAATGGCAATTTCTTGGGCAAAAACATTACAAAAAATTCCACCCCTCCAAAAGATAAAATTGTATTTGTATTTTATTCCAGAACAAGAACTTCAATAGATACTAACATAATGTAAATCATGATCTAAGCATTAATTATCTCAGTTATCGTAAAAGTAACTGCTGTAAAAATCTTCAGCTGCTGTAATGATGTCAGTGGTAAATAAATCATCAGCTTCTACTTCTTTTTTCAGTATATCTCAAAATCCATGAAGATAAAACAAATCATAAACACACAGAAAAGAATAACATAGTTCAAAATTACTTTTAAAAACACACTGAAGAGTAAGGACATAGCTGCAAAAGGAAGACATACATATTATTGGCATGTTAATCACTATTTTCAGTACCTGCTGAAGCTAATAGTGTGAGATAAGACAAAAGTATTAACAATATAAATTTAAAAAAAAAAAAAAATGGTAGAAAGACAGAAAAATTTCAAGGAAGATAACCATTTTTAGAAAAAATTTAATAACATATAAATATGACCTTACTTTTTTTGGTACTTTCTTCAGCTGTCAACTGCAAGTATATTAAATGCAATTATTCATTTTATTAATTAAATAAATGTATGAAGATACAAAATGCATTTATTAATACCTCAAGTAACTAAATGGTTAAAACTATAATATTACATATGCTTAATATTATATGCTATTTTTAATTAATCTACATAAATCAAATTTTTTAGAAGCCACAATTTTTAAAGGTTTTTAAAATAAATTCAGCAGGTTAGAATATAAGAGAAAATGAATATATGGGTACTTTCTGATTATCTGCAACCCTGCCAAAAAGTCACAAAAAAGTATTTATGAGGCAAAATAATACATCATTAAAATATTGGGTTTTAATAAAAGTTTCCCACCGGCACAAATATCGTCTGCGCAGCAGTTCACATTGCTATGTTTAATTTTGTCATATGATTTTTGGCATTTGAAAGAAAGAGGCTTGCTTTAGAATGCTGTGTTGTGAAATTTGTAAAAAAAATATTGTTAACATAAGTACAAGGTGTCTGAAATGGAACTATCAATCTAGCAGATTAGAACCATGATTTATTTCCAATTCTGTTGCAAAAAGTCAGCTACAAAATGTCACCAAATCATGTACGCAGCTTTAGGTACTAATGCTGTATCATATGAAACTGTGAAGGTTCGGTCCGAAAAGCTCAAAAACAAGGACTATGACATTCAAGAAGCAGAGCACTCTGGGTGGCTTACTGACGTTCATGAGGCCTACCTGTGAGAACTTGTGAAAGAAAATCAGTATGCAACCACTTAAGAGCTTGTTAAGGAGCTAGACAGTCGCCTAACTCCTTAGCTTAGTGCCATGTACACCAGTCATACAATACATCGCATAAACCTGACGTAGAAGTTTAATCACTAGTTGCCGCTTGCTCATGCCATCAGCAGCATCGCAAAGCGCAATTTGAGTAACAAAAAGATAATGCTTTGTATCTGGTGGGATGGCTGTGGTATTATTTACAAACAGTACCTGTAAAAAGGTAAAACCCTTGACTAGTAAGGTATATAGCAAAATGCTAGTCTGTTTTGACGCTGAAATCAAGGAAAAATGACACAGAGTCCTGGCACAAAAAGGTAATGATCAATCAAGATAATGCAAGACTGCATGTGTCTGCATTCACCGGCTGAACTCTATACGGACTCGAATGAGATCTTTTGCCACACTCATTATATAGCCCCAACATCGATCCTTTGAATTTCTTCACAAAAACTATTTATGTGGCAACTCAGGTGTATGCATAGCACATGCATGTTTTCATCGGTACACAATTCTCTGATACTTTTTAAGCAAAAACCGGTCTATGTGCACATAGAAAGAACAATAATGGAAAAAAAAAAAAAAAAATTCTAAAAAAAAAGTAAGTGTTTTATTACCAATGTTTCTTTTTTATCGTTATTTTAATAATGGATGTTGCGTTTTGTGCATTAGCTTGGTGAGAAATTCGTCAACAACTTTGTGAATGCTCTTCAAAGTAATAAATGAGTTTGGGACTTTTCGTGGGACTGTGAATAGTCAGAAAGTACCAAAACATGCTTTAGAATTATCAGTTTTAAATAGAAAAACTATTTACTTTCTCCCTCAGCTCATTAATCTGGGTGGTAAAGGATGAATCTAAAAGAAAAAAATTATATATTAACCTATCTTAAACCTTATCTTAAAAATAAAAAGTTACTTTACTAAAGAAACTTTTTTTAAGTTATTAAGAAATTATTAACAGTGCACTTACTGAATAAAGCACTGAAATTTGGTAATTATATATAAGAATCTGGTTTTTTAAACCATAATTATAATTTTAAGCATAATGCTATAACTTTTTAAAAATAACATTAGCAGTTTTAAGATAACTTCTCATGAGTTCATTTTAAATTTATGATTTTGAATTTTAGAAAACTATTAAACTTATTTATGAAAAATAAGGGTACTTTAGCACATTTTAGGGATTTTTTATAAGAAAAGAATTATGACTTATAATTGCAAAAATGTTTTTATTATGGAAATACATATACTCTCATATTTTACATTTTAATTACATATATATTCCAAAAATGAATCAGTAAACCTACTTAGATGCAAGTTTTTGTTTCTTTAATTCTGGTGGAAATTTTGTAGCAATCACTTTAAAAATAGTTTCGAAGTAATTTTTGTTCCCTTGAATATTTTACAGAAAATTAATGTATTTTTTCAGAAATTTTACCACAGTTTCTTCTCCTGCAGACAAATCCTATAAGTGACTATATTAAAATGAAGTTTAATGCAAAAAATATCACAGTTGGCTTATACAACTTTTCGAACTTGGAATGCAATAAAAAGAACACAATCAAAACATTGCTTGTTAAAAGTGAAGAATAGTTACTGATCGAGAAAAAGGTATTTCAGTCATGTAATTTCAGATGATTCCATTCTTCAACTATGATGAGAAGTAAAGTTTCCATGTTAATATAACTATAGTGGCTTTCTGATGTGGCCCTGTTAGCCCATTTTTGGTTAGAAATTATAATTTGAAATTGACGATAAAGTTATAATCATTAATAAATAGGAAAATTGTGATGCAAGTAGAAAGAAAAACAATTTAATTAATCATGAAAATTTTAATTTGATAAAGCAACCAATTATGACAAATTTATGGGAATAAATAATTACAAAAATCAGAAACAAATGTTAAGGATCATCTTTAATATCTACAACATTCCAAACCAGCTTAAAGAGGAATTTCTCTTAAAGCAATCAGAATCAGATTCTGCAGTTGATTTGGCTCACTGTCTGAGAAGCCATAAAATTTAGTTGTTCAACAGTTTCTTCAAATAAATTGTCAAGTTCCCAACATTTGTTTTTAGTTGTAATGATTTCGGTTGTTATAAGTTTTCATTGTTTTGAAGTTCATTTCACCACTAACATTCTTCTCTCGTGCATACTTTCCTCTAGCAGCTCAAGCTAGTTCTATGGCATTAAAACCATGAAGATAGAGGGTATTCAAAATATATTATGGCCTCTTTCCTTCAACTATTCATCAATGTAGTATTTTTTCATTGGGCATACATTTGCGTCATGCTCACACAAAGATTGTGAACAACTTCTTTTGTGTCTAACCACTCACACAGTAGTAACATAGTTAGATGGCTTTGGATTCAGAACCTTGGTATGGTAAGGGGCATTATCCAACAAATTATGCTATTTGATGGAATATTAGTATGGAGTTTCTCTTTTAACCACTTTGAAAAATTACCAAAATGCATCAGTCCATTGGTAATGCTTGACGTCATGCCACAGTGAAAAACGAAACTCGCTCCTTCTATAAACCCATCCTGGTTACCAGCATGCACAATTATCAATTTTAGAATTTTTCCAACCTGCTAACATTTCCCGAAGCACATACTGCCATGTATACAAATTTCATCCAAACAAATGATTACTCTGTCATGCTTTTTTAATCTTTTGATATCTCGCAAAACTCTGTATTGCCACTGCACACATCTTATCTCTGCATAGCCATTGTTTGATTGTCTAAGATGCACTTTCACTGAAGCCCAATTTTGTACCACATTAACATTTCTTTTTCTAATGGAAATAAATTTTTTGCTTCATAACAGGCAACAAAGTAGTAAAGGAAGAAATTTTGTTATTAGCATAAAATTAATTGATTGTTTGCCAAATAGCAAACAAATCAAACTCATCCAGGCTTAAAAGCACATTCTGGATTTTATTAGATCTTTGTTTTGCGGGCAATAGGGGACAGGCGAAATATTAGTTTCTTAATTTATAGTCATAACTGTTCTCAATGATACAAGTTGTGGCAGCTGTTCCATTCAGAATCTGCTGAACAGAAATACATAACTTTTCAAAAGCTGCTTCCTTCTCAGAAAACTCTAGCTCATTTTGGATTATTTTTCTTTCCTTGACATTGATTGTTCCAGATATTTTTTGGGGGGAAAAACCTTGTTTCACATATACTTCAAAAGCTTAATAAGCTAACTAAGCAACTATTACGGATTCAATGAATTTAAAGATTGCAAACACTCTTTAAACACAAAATTATAAGTATCAAAAGTTAAAGCAATGTGACTCTGAATTATCAACAGATTGCTCATATAGGTGGCAAAGAAGCAGTTCAGTAAGGCAAAGAATTATTTGGCAAAAAGTATATTTGCCAAACATCAACTGCATTTAGCATTTTTAACCTGGTAGCCCTTACTTAAAAATGAACAGCTTTAAGGTCATACACCAACAGAACTGGGCAATATGCCATAGTTTGGTGTATTTTGAAAATCTGGCAGCTACAACTACGGTAATTGTATTAATAGCTACAACTACGGTAATTGTATTAATAAGTACCAAAACAATATTAGTTTCATAAATTGATTATATTATATGCAGAGTTTAATATTATAGATGTAATTACAAACATTTTAAATACTTTTCTTCAGAGTGAAGACCTATAAATTTTGTAGAGGAACTGCTTGAAATATTTTTTTAACATTTTTAATTAAATTGCCTCACCCTTCTTTAATTATGATTTGAACTCATAATTCTTTGCCAAATTTGATTTTGCTTCATAGATATGCATATTTTTAATTAATTCATTCAAAAATAAAATCACTGAATATAAATATAAGGCACACATATAAAATAGCTTTGAAACCTGTCTCTTGCATATATAATTTTAGGCATTTCAATATATACATATAAACTGATGAGCCAAAACATTATGACCATTTCTACTCGATTGGATGATGTAGAGGACACATAATAAAGTGAGAATGGTATTGAACTGCTGCTGGAGAAGATAAACAATCATTCTTGCACTTACTTTTGTGGGTGACGAGAAAGCAATTTGATCTAAGTGAATTTGATAGAGGGCAAACTGTTATGGCCCGAAGACTTGGAACAAGTATTTCTGAAAATGCAAAACTAGTAGGTTGTTCAGGGTTTGCTGTCGTTAGCATTATGCAAAGTGGATGAAAGACAGCGAAATCAGCAGTAGATGCAAAGTTGTTGGACGTCAATGCATCATCAAAGAAAAAGGACATTGGAGACTGCCCCGCTAGGCATAGCAAAATCAGTGCCATGCAGTGGCTTAACCGACAGACCAATACAATGTAAGTCCAAGTGCTAGTGTTTCGGAATACTCAGTTCAGAGGACACCGTTGGATTTGGAACTGGGCAGCAGATGTCCCATTCATGTGCCTCTGTTGACCAAGCGTCATTATTGAGACTGAACCATGGATAAGTGGAAGATAGTTGCCTGAACAGATGGATTCTGATTTCTCATTCATCATGTCAATGGTCATGTCAGGGTACACCATCTTCCAGGTAAACAGTTGCTCCCCTCTGTATAGCAGATCATACATAGGCTGCTGATGGCAGTATTATGCTTTAGGGTAGGGGTCTTCAACCCGTGGCCCGCTGGAGGCATGTTAGTGACCCCACATCCGATTTGGAAGAAAAATTGAAGAACTTTAGAAAATTTTGATTTCAAGAAAAATTGGCTTGTCAGCTTTTTGTTGTACAAAAACTTTTTTGTCTTATTCTTGATATTTAGAACATTTTATTGACATGCCTGATGTTATAGAGAAATTAGCCAGTGTCGTTGCACTTAAAAGTACAACATGAGGAACAGATTTGTGTTAGAGACTGAAACAAACTTTGTACAAAGTTTGTAAGTAATATAACTGCTATAACCACGGATGGTGCTACATCTATGACTGGAGAAAAATTAGGAGTAACAACATTACTCAAATCTGATGTGAAGGAAAGTGGAAATAATACTATGATGACTTTCCACTGCATCATCGACCAAGAAAATTGGAGCAAGAAGTCCTTCTCAAACTTTGAACATGTGATGAATGTTGTTGTAAAAGTAGTTAATTTCATTCAGTCTAAAAGATGAATCACAGGCAATTTTAACAGTTCTTGAGTGATTTGGAAGCTGAATATGATGATGCTTTGTATTACACGGAAGCACATTGGTTGAGCTGAGAAAAGATGATTCAGCGCCTGTTTTCTTTGAAGAGCTAAGTTCAACAATTCATCGAATCTAAAGGAAAATCTATTCACGAGTTCAGTGATGAGAAATGGTTGAGAGATTTTGCATTTCTTGTCGATATTGCAGATCATCTCAAGGATTTGAACTATCACTTACTGGAAAAAGATCTACTTGTTCATAATATGCATTACTTTCTGAAAGCTTTTGAGACAAAATTAATCTTGTGGGAAAGTCAGTTGCTAAATAAGAACTCCACTCACTTTCCAAAATTGATGGAGTGTGTGAAGAACTCTACAGCATGGAATTCAAATAATTACGTACAATGCATTTCAAATTTGAAACAGGAATTCAAAAGCAGATTTTCGTGAAAATGAAATTTTTATGAGATTGTTCTCCTCACCATTTTTAGTAGACGTTGGAAGTGTTCCACCTGAACTTCAATTAGAATTTACAGATTTACAGTGTGACTCTGCAGTAAAATGCAAGTTTCTTGAAAATCCTGCAATATTTGATTTTTATTTGAAGTGCGTGACCAAAGACAGTATTCAGGAATTTGTAAATATGTACTCTTCATGTCTTCTATCTTTGGCAGTACCTACATATGTGAACAGCTTTTTAGTAAAATGAAATCCTAAAATCAAAAACAAGAACACAGCTGACAGACAGGCATTTGGAGGAAACTTTACGAATTGCAACCACACAGATTAAACCGGATACTGAAACTTTAATCAAGCAAAAACAATGTCATATTTCACATTAAAACTAAAGTAACTACCATCTCCCACCAATAATGGAAGTTTTTTCCCTTGTTTTATTGTAAATGCATTTTGTAACACGTTTTGTACAATCATCTTTATACTTTTTTTTCCATAGTTAAAAAAAATTGCAAAACATTTCAATTCAATTTCCATTTGACTTTTTGGAACCAATGTATACATATACAAATCTGTAACACTCTCTCTTCGCTTATCAATTGTAGTCTTGCAAAACAAATCTCCCTTTTTTATATTGACTACCCTATTTTTTGACAGACATGTGGACCGCAGATCTTTGTGAATTTATTGATATGGCCCTCTGGCATGAAAGGTTGAAGACCCCTACAGGGGATGTTCTCATGAGCAGTCCTGGGACCCTTAGTTATGGTAGAACAGACCATGAAAGCTACGACTACCTGAACACATTTGTGGATCAATTACACCCTTACATAGAGTCTGTTTTTCCAAGTGGAAATGGAATCTTCCAGCAGGACAACATCCCATGTCACAAGGCTCAAGTTGTGTTGGAGTGGTTCGAAGAGCATAAGGATTAATTCTAATTAATGTCCTGGCCACCTTACTTGTTGTATCTTGACCCAATAGACCCCATTTGGGATGCCATGGAATGGCAGCTCAGAACTCAAACACTACCATGTTGAATAACTTGATTTTGCATGACTGCTGTATTTGGATCATGTTAATTTAGACAATTATTGCAACCTGTCTCCAGTCATCTGCTAAGAACTTGTGATATCCATGCCAAGGCGAGTTACAGCTATTTTGCAGGTCAAAAATAATGCAATGAGTATTGAGTAGGTGGTCATAATGTTTTGGCTCATCAGTATGTGTATACTTATATATAACTGAATTGACTGTTTTAACAATTTTAAAATTTGTTATACACTTACTTCATAAAACAAAAAATTAAGTTGAATAATAATGAAATTTAAAAAAAAAAATACTTTACTTTAAAAAAGAGAGAAAGCAGCATGTTAGAAAAATTGTGATCATAATAAAAACACATATTGAAATAACTTTAAAAAAATATCTGTCAAATACAGGTTAAAAGCATTCAAATCATCATGTAAAATACAAATTAATTAATTCATTATGAAAAGGAAAGCCTTAAGTAATAAAAACAAAAATATTCATTAATAGCAAAACAGCATAACTAATGATAAAATTAAGTACATACCTTGCAAAGTAGTAATTCTTTTCTAGATCAAAGAATGATAAATTTTTATTCATTTAAAAACTAGAGTTTATACAAATGATTTTATAAAAAAAGAATATAAACAACTATAGACTATTATGAAAAATTTATGAGTTTTAAGTGATAAATTCTTTTAAAAAATCAAAATTCATTCGTAACTTAAAATTTATAAATGGAAGTTTTAAGTCATATTTACTGGTGCTTATATCTACAAATGATTATTTTTTTAAAGATGACAATTACCTCCAAAGCAATACTAAATTTTAGTTAAAATAAAGCCAAGAGTTAATATTATTGTTACGAATTTGGTATTTAAAAAGCTAATGTTAGTTCAATTACAAATTAAATGGTTTTATTTCTCGCGCACTGCAGCGCGTGACGAATATTAAAAGAAAGCTAAGCCGAAAAATTAAAAATACAAGAGCGCGTGCGTTAAATAAATAAATATCTCTTTTTGATTTCGAGAAAGTACTGGAAAATTCTAGCGCGTGGATTTTAAAATCTTATAAAAGGAGGAAAAACATCTCAGTTTTTAGTAGTTGCTTAGTTTTGTTGTTGCTTAGAAAAACTGCTCTTGTTGATTGTAGCGAATTCGCGGATTAGCGTTCTTTAGCTGTTTTGAATTACGTTCTATTGGACATTTGAGTAGTTAAAAGATAACTACTGTGAGATATTGTAATACTGCATGATAATTTGAGAAAATTTAAGCATTTTTGTTGTGATAATAATAAATTTTTGTTCATTTTTCATCAGACTTGTGCATTCATTTCATAACGAACTCGTACGCACGCAATATTATTATTCCCTTTTCTCATACATACAATTTGAACAACATCTGTTATTAAAAATTTTAGATATTTTTTGCTATATGATATCATGATAAAATGTAGGTAGTCTTCTGTTATCAGGACTGGATTAACAAATGTATGTTTGCATGTACATGTGTATGAATGTGCATATATCTGCATGCGTATACATACACACTCTAATGTACCTACATATATACATGCATACATGAACACATACATCCATACACACATGCATTTCTGAATCGCGTCCCTGATAACAGAAAAGTACGAAACTATATCTCTTGGGTTAGTTATATCAATTAATAAACAAGTAAGTAGGATGAAACACTTTTAAAAACTTTTTATTCTGAGTAAATACAATGAAAAAAGAACACTGTTCTAAGCTAATAACTGCACACTTAATTTTAAAGAGACAACAATGTAGGCTAAGATATGCACAAATGGGCTTTTCTTTATTTCACATATCTACATGAATTCATACAATTAGAATCGAATAAAATGCAATTAGTATCTTCTCTAATTGCATTTTATTCTCTAATTGCAAATATTGCAGGATTTATCTTCTCATTTAGAGTATAAAACTGGCAAAAAATCTTTCTACAGCAGATTGCTTTGCATACATTCTTGTATAATGGTGAAGATCTTGAAACTGATCACTGTCTCATAGATATTGAGGTCATTAAATTGCATTTTATGATAGCATTTAAGTGAAAAAATATCTTGAAATTTATATATTATTTATTAATTATTCTTATTTATTTATTTATTTTGCAAATAGCATAATTTTATATAACTAGTTCCACATCCATATGCAATATTTTCAAAGAAATTTTCAAACTGATTTCAAAAACAAACCAGATAAAAAAGCATTCAAAACTTTAGAGACATAGTCTTTTTTTTAGTTTTTTGGTGAAGTCTATAGCAGTTGCATTCATATTAAGTAGTCATCTCTAAGAAGCTATAACTCGTATTTGAGACGTGACCTCAGGTTCTTAACGAAAATTATTGTTTAACATTAAAATAACTGAATTCTCCTACTGGAATTTATTTTGAGTAAAAAATATACTACTTGTATGCAGGAGATGATGCCCTTATACATCAGTAGTGATCAAATTATGATAATGATTATTATTGCAAATTATTATTAGCAAACATACTAATCAAAATATGATCTCATTCACCCTGTAAAGCTTCGGAAGTTAACTATCATAACAATTTATATTAAAAAATTTAATAAATATACATATTTTTGAATAATAAAGGACTTTTCTAGTTAATTGTATTTGGATCATGTTAGAAACAAACTTTATTTTATTTTTATGATGTTGTATCTGCCAAAGCAATGCTATAATTATAGACTCTATGTTCCTTAATATTCATGTGTAGCTCCTTTTTGTTTTTTGCTGAATGACAATAGTTTAGTTAGTCAAGTTAATAAACATATACCATGCACTTGTGTTTTGCTTATTTTGTTCTACTATATTACAAAATATATCTGCCATTTTAGTAATTTCTATCACGTTACCAGCATGATATGCTCTAAAGAAGTTTATTTGGCAGAAATGAAGAAGAAATTTTAATTTTTCCGAAAAAAAAAAAAAAGAAGCAACATCCACAGCGCTGGCAAAGCTAAGCTTAACGTGTTGAAAGTGACCCGATGGAAGAAATTAAGATTCAGAAACTCGACGGAGATAATAACAATACTTTGAAAATCTGAGAACAAGCTGCTTCAGTTCAAAAAAATTGTTGGGAAGTGATTGATCCAGGTTACGGTGCTGAATTAAAGAATGATGAAAAGAAAATTAATGAGAAAGCCTTAAACTTTCTATTCTTAGTTGTTGAAGACAAGTTCTTAGATGACATAGCTAACTGTGAAAGAGCGAAAGAAGCATGGGATACTTTAAAAGACATCCATACAAAATTCGGACTCTTGTATTTTCTACAACTTTTAAAAGAATTTTTTGATGCAACTTTAAAACCAGGAGAAAGCGTCAAGTTCTTATCTAAGTCGATTGATGGACCTACACCAAAAGTTATCATCTTACGGACACGGACTTGCAGACAGAGAAGTTTCCCTCGTTATGTTAATGGGTTTGCTCAAGGAATATGAAGGCCTTATCCTCAATTTAGAATATGAAGAAGATATGTTGTCAACTCAAATCGTAAAATAGCGTCTCATCATAGAAGAGAAAAAGTTACTGTGTTACACAGAAGTGAAATAAGAAGTTGCTACCAGTGAGGTCATGGGAGAGAAAGCCCTCAAAACTCGAGATAAGTACAGAACTATGCAGCCATTACAGAAACAGCATAAAAATACTGACAGAAAAACCCGTTGCTTTTCTTCTGGGGAGTGGGGTCATATTGCCAAACATTGCTCTGCTGCTAAAACCCCACATGGAAAAATGGTTTCTAATGAAATATATCAAGCACTGTTTGTTGATTCTTGCAGTGAGAAACCTGTCTGTGATTGGTACCTTGATAGCAAAGTCACTGAACTCAAGAGCAGAAATTTATGAATTTAGCTTCAGTGAAATCACAAGTTGAGATAGCCAATTCTGAAAAAATTGAAGTTTCTGGCACAAGAGACATTGTTTTGAATCCTATCAGACAATGTGGGAAAGATGCTATTCACCTAGCAAATGTTCTGTATGTCCCTAAGCCTGATGGTAATCTTCTTTCAGTAGGAAGAACAGAAGAAATGAGAATTACTGTTTCCTTTGAGGAAGGCAAAGCAATCATAAAAGATCCAAGACAACAAGATAAGGTCATCCTCACTGCACATAGGTATGGAAGACTATACAAAATTGAAGAGAAGCAAACACACATAATATATCTTTTCAGACATAAAGAAACTATGCATCTAAGATTAGGACATTTCCATCATGATGGAGTTAAGAAACTTATGAAAAGGGATGATTCGAATATGACGTGTGAAGAAATCCAAGAAAAGGAGACTGTTTGCTCAACATGTGTTTTGTGGAAAATGAGACTCCATTTCCCAAGGAAAAAGCTGAACGTTCAACTAGATTACTTCAGCTGATACATACTGATGTAAGTGGACTATCATACCTATGTCAAAAGGTGGATCAAGGTACGTCGTTCAAGGCATGCTGTGGTTAAAACTATGAAATCTAAAGATCATGTCCTTGAAAAATTCATGGAATATAGAACAAATGTTGAAAATTTCCATGGACTCAAAATCACTACTCTAGGAAGTGACAATGGAGGGGAATATGTCAACAATGAATTTGATGATTTCCTAACTAAAAATGGAATAACAAGACAACTCACAGTTCCCCGGACACCACAACAAAATGGAGTTGCAGAAAAAATGAACCATACTCTATTTGATATGACTAGATGTCTTCTCCTAGATTCCAACATACCACAAGAATTGTGGGTAGATGCTGTGACTACTGCCTGTTATTTGCACAACAAGTGTTCATCATAAGCTACTGAAGGAAACATACCTGAAGAACTCTGAAACAAGAAGCCTGTGCAAATTAGTCACCTAAGAATATTTGGCTGTCGAGTTTTTGCTCAAATTGATAACACGCTGCAGAAAGGAAGGCTACGGAAGTGTACTCAAGAATTTGTCTTTATGGGATATCCCGAAGGCGTGAAAAGATACAAACTATGGAATACAGAGGAAGGTAAGCTTTTAGCAAGCAGAAATTTTAAATTTGATGAGACTGTTTTTCCATTGAGGAGGAGCCAGATAGCTACTCAAGCAAAGAAGGAAAATGAAGTAACATTTAACTTACAATTCTGACAGTGAAGTAAATGTTGTTCCATTAGAAGTACCCATCAGTTGCACCACCACAGGAGTTGAAGATGTTGAAGCAACATTAAATGGCACAGCAGAAGAAATTGAAGATACAGAATCAGCATTACTGGGAGATTCTGATAGTAGTAAGGAAGACTCTTTTGGAATCAGAAAAAACACTAGAGAAAGGAGACCTAAGACTTACTATGGGATCCAGTGTTATATAAAGCTGTTTGTGAAGAACAACCTGCCATCAAAATCTGTAAGAACCTAACAAGTGTAAAAGAAGCAATGAATTCACCAAATGCAGAGAAGCCATGAAGGAAGAATTGTCTAATTTGTACAAAAACCAGACATGGGAATTAGTTCCAAAGCCAGCTGGCATCAAACACATAGGATGCAAGTGGGTATTCAAAGAAAAAATGCAGA